ACCCACTGTACTTTGGTTCGGGGCTCTCTGCCTCTGTCCTGTTTTCGGGACGTGTAGTGAGCCCCAGCATGCTTGGACAATAAACCCTGTGTGTGTTGCATAAGAAAGTCTCTTGGAGTCTTCCTTCACGGGCGGCAAGCATCTCGACCCTAACAAAATTATAGAGAAAAATACATAAATATATGCCTCTTGGAGAGCCCAGCGGGCTGGAGCGATAGCACAGCGGGTAGGGCGTTTGTCTTGCACGCAGCCAACATGGCCGACCCGAGTTCGATTCCTCCGCCCCTCTCGGAGAGCCCGGCAAGCTACCGAGAGTATCTCGCCCGCACGGCAAAGCCTGGCAACTTCCCCGTGATGTATTCGATATGCCAGACACAGTAACAAGTCTCATGATGGAGACGTTACTGGGCCTGCTCGAGAAAATCGATGAACAACGGGAGGACAGTGGAGAGTCCGGCAAGCTACCAAGAGTATCCCTCCCGCACGGGCAGAGCCTGGCAAGCTCCCTGTGGCTTATTCGATATGCCAAATACAGTAACAACAATAGGTCTCATTCCCCTGACCCTGAAAGAGCCTTCAATCGCTAAGAAAAGACAAGTAAAAAGAGGCTGCTAAAATCTCAGAGCTGGGAGGAATAGAGACATTACTGGGGCCTGCTCGAGAGTAATTCGATGACCAATGGGATGACAGTAATACAGTGATATGGTGATATCTATCTATCTATCTGTATATCTATATCTATATAATCTGTATCACTTAATCACTTAATCACTTAACTTCCCGTTAGTCGTCGATTTGCTCAAGCGGGTGCCAGTAACGTCTCCATTTGTCCCTGTCGCGTGCTAGTGTAACCCAATGGCATCTGTTCGCTCTGGAAACATGAAGAGCCTCAAACTGATCGTTCATGATCTTGATGAAGAAGTCTGACCATCTGGTAGGTGGGTGGCCACGCGGTCTTTTGACATCCCGTGGAATCCAGTCGGTAACAGCTCTAGTCCAGCGGTCGTCTCCAAATCTCATTACGAGACCAGCCCATCTGATTTTTGACACCTTGACAAATGAGACAGCGTCCCTGATTCTTGATCGTTGATGGATGTCGGAACTCCGGATTCTTTCTCTCATTTGAGTGAAACGTGATATTCCAAGCATAGCTCTTTCAGTTCCTCTTTGGGAGACCTGAATAGCGTTCTCATCCTGTTTGCGTAGGACCCGGGTCTCTGAGGCATATGTTAATGCAGGAAGAACAGTGGAATCAAAGAGATGTGCCCGGAGCCGGAGGTTCTTCGTCCTCTTAGCTATTTCTTCAACGTTCTTGAAGGCGTTCCAAGCCTATAATCTGTATATGTGCATAAATATGTCTATCTTCCCAAAAAATTTTTGAGGAGGGTGGGAGGTGGGCCACACCCATGGTGTTCAGGGCTTGCTCCTGGTTTTGTGCTAAGGGATCACTCCTGGAGAAATCGAGGGACCACGTGCAGTGTGGAGGATTGTACCTGAGTTGGCCATGTCAAAGGCAAGTGTGCTTCCTGCTCTATTATTGCTCTAGCCCCAGTCTTTGAAATTTTAGACACCCTAGTAAGTGTTCAATTATATCTCATTGTGTTTTCACTTTCTTTTCTTTTTGAAGGGGCAGTTTGAGGGAAGCACTCAGAGGTGCCTTGGGGACTTATCCTGACCTCCACAACAACAGAAAAAATATTCATACGGGATGAAGGATGGCTCACCAGCCAGTGTGCCTCCCTTGCAAGTGTGGGGCTGAGTGTTTGATCCCCAGGTCTGCCCATATGCATGGATCATGGTTTCCATTGAGGCCAGGCATGTGAGCATCAAAACAGGTGGACAGCCTCCTGACAGCACAGAGGCCAAGTGTGTGCCACGCCCTTGGGCCCTAATGCAATAACCACAAAGGGGGAGCATTCAATCACTTATTCTCTGAGTTCTGAGCGCCTTATCTTATGAAGAGAAAGGAAATGCTTAGAAAAGTCCCTGGAATAGCCACATTTGGATTGAGATTTAAGTAAATATAGAAGCAAGAGCGCATGCAGGCAGCGAAAGGGCAGGAGGGTGCCGATGTTCATGGAGAAGACAGACTCTCTGAGTCAGGAGACCTGAACTTTATTGGCAAATCATTTCACCTTTGAAACCAAATTTTTTTCCTGGAGACAGGAATAACGGTGTTTTGCCCAGCTTTCCTCATGCAGCTGTTCTGAGGATGAGAAGAAATAAGCCAAAAGCTCCTTGAAAATAACTCAAGTGGGAACCCAGGTATGCAGGCCTTGTGGCTGAGATCTCCAAGCCTGCTCGGATCAGGACTGGGCCTCCTCCACCCAGGTCCCCAGTGTTCTGGTAGCTTGGCAGTCACACCTACAATCTGCCCCCCTCGACGTCCCCCACCATGCTGTATCAATGGCCAAGATCCAGAGGCTATAAAATAAAGCTCCTGGAAGAGAGCGATGCAGTTTTTCCTGGAGCTCGAGACCACATTCAGGGCTGTGGGACCCCTTATACTCTAGCTCAGTGATGCAACTAAAGTATCACACATTTGTTTAGTTTTAACATACTTGCTTGTATTCTCTTATATACGGGCCTAATGGCTCCAGAATGAAATACAACAACCTTCACACACTTCCCTCTTATTGTGGTGGGAAGATACTCGCTGGTGGGGTGGGTGTTTGAATATTATCTGTAATGAACTATTGTGAAAAACTATTTTTTAAAAAATACAAACAAAAATGATTTCTTTACATGCCAAACACAGTAACAACAAGTCTCATGATGGAGATGTTACTGAGCCTGCTCGAGCAAATTGATGAACAAAGGGAGGACAGTGCTACAGTGTTACAGTTACAAATAATACAGAGAATTTCTCCCCTTACTGTGATAGAAGTTAACAGCCTTCACTTTCTTTTTCTTTCTTTTTTTTTTTTGCTTTTTGGGTCACACCCAGCAATGCTCAGGGGTCACTCCTGGCTCTGCACTCAGGAATGACTCCTGGCGGTGCTTGGGGGACCATATGGGATGCCGGGGATCGAACCCAGGTCGGTCGCGTTCAAGGCAAACGCCCTCCCCGCTGTGCTATCGCTCCGGCCCCAACAGCCTTCACTTTCAAATGAGGTTTGAATTTTGAGATTAGTTTATGAAAACAAAATGTATAAAAATCACACAAAAAAAGAACTCAAGTGAAAAAGCAAGACGAGTGGTCAGTTTTCAAATCAAAATGAAATCTGTGTAAGATAATAAATGCAATGAAAATACTTTCTATCATTACAGATATCTTTGGTTTTGTTTGCAGCTGAGGTAGGCTTGCATTTCGTGGCTGGCTGGTCTGACACCATACTCTCCCAGTCTCTTCGTCCTGCCCATGATGCCACAACCCAGTCCTAAAGGCGTACTGCCTGGCAGAAGGGGTTGGGGGGTTAGTTCACATTCCAAACTGGAGGGAGGGGGTGTGGAATTGGGGATCCATGCTCTACCCTCCACAAACCTTTGCCAGCCAGAGGCCATGACTCAGCACAGCCCCAGATTCTGCATCCTTGTTCCAAGTGGCGATGACGCCTTCCAGTTGTTCATGCCTGCCAGGGGCATGATGGGGCAGGTCAAGAACACCAACTCCAGAATGGGAGGCACTGCCCCACTCACGAGCCCAGCCAGGGACAGCAGAGGTCCCTCCTCCTCCTCTTCCTCAGTCTGAGATGACAGGCAGAACCCTCCACACCCACAGCAGATGGGCCAGAGGCAGAGTCGCAAAGTCAGTCCTGAGCTTGACACAGGCAGTACAGGTCCAGTGACTTACTTCACAGAAAAGAACTTCAGGAGGAGCTAAATGTTAAATCAAAATAGTTTTATTGAAAGAAATTTAGGGAATGTGTAAGTGGGTGGGGAGGAGATAGAGGAGGTGGGGGAAGAGAGAAAGAAAGGAGAGAGAGAGAGAGAGAGAGAGAGAGAGAGAGAGAGAGAGAGAGAGAGAGAGAGAGAGAGAGAGAGAGAACACAAGCTTGAAAAAGCAAGTCAGCCAGGAATGGCATTGTCACAGGAAAGCCTTGCACTGTTGATGGTCCTTTCAGAATCTCATCAGGACCTTTAAATTCTTCTGTAGCTTCTCCTTTTCTGAGGGGTCCAACCTTCTCTGGGTGAAGCCTCACAGTTCTATATCTGAGTAGTGTCTCTGTTTCTCTATAAAGAGCTAAGCTCAGAATTTGCATAACTAAAAGGCTTGATGAGCTCTTTATGACATTTGGTTATTTTAGGGCTGGGCAGGTGCTTCTTAAAGTTGATTTCCCAAAAGCTCTTTACCGGGTCCAGGAAGGGAAGGGAGGCAGGGGGGAAGGAAAGAAGAAGGGAAGAAGGGAGGGAAGCTGAGTCTCATGATTGGCCTTTGCTGAATATTCCTGCTTAATTTATAACAGTGAGAAACTACGATGGCTTTTTTTTTCTTTGTTTTTTGAAAAGGACATGGTGTGCTCGGGCTTGCACTCAAGTCTTTTATTTATTTATTTTCTTTTTGGGCCACAGCCAGCGATGCTCAGGGGTTTACTCCTGGCTCTGCACTCAGGAATTACTCCTGGCGGTGCTTGGGGGACCATATGGGATGCCGGGATGCCAGGGACTGAACTCCGGTCGGCCGCGGGCAAGGCAATCGCCCTCCCCGCTGTGCTATCGCTCTGGCCCTCACCCAAGCCTTATACAGGCAAGGCAGAGGCTCTACGGCTAAGCTACAATGCTGGCTCCCGCCGCGCTTCTAAATTAAGACTTCTGGGATTCGAATGATAAACTAATGGTCATGCCCCACCCGGTTACTTTCCTCCGTGCCACGCCTCCCGTTCCGAACTCCATTTCCCAGCATGCCCCGGGCCCCGGTAGGTCGGCCGCCTTTATGACTCGCGTTCCGCAGCCTTCTGGGAGATGTAGTTCCATTTCTCTCCCGCTCCCGGAAACGCCGAGGCCGTGGACTACCACTCCCGTGAGGCAATGCGTCACTCCGCCCCCTCCGCGGCGTCTTCGAACGCGCCGCGGCAGCCATGTTGGACGTGGCCAGCACCGGGGCCGGCACCAGGGGGTAATCAGCTGTCACGATGCTGGGCTCCCTGGTGTTGAAGAGAACAGCGCCGGCGTCCAGGCTCCTTCTCCAGCTGCTGAGATCGCCATCACTCCGGAGCCATGGAAGTGCCCCCGGCCGGCGTGTAGCCCCCGGGGACGGCGTGGAGGCGCCCTGGCCGAGGGCAGCCGTCGAGGGATGCCAGCGGACACCTGCCGCCTTGCACCCCGCGGGGGTCCGGGGCGGGCGCGCCGAGACCCGCTACCTCGCGGCCGCCGCACGGAGACACCGTCCGAGCCCCGAAGAAACACTCCCCGGTCGGGACGGCTGGAACGGGGTCCCCAGCAGAGCCGGGCTGGGCATGTGGGCCCTGGCCACTGCCCTCGTGGCTCACTGTTACAGCAAGAACCCGTCCAGCAAGGGTGATTATCGGGAGCGTCTGGGCGGGGGCATCGTCCTGACCTCGCGGCTCCGGGAGGGTGGGAGCAGAGCCCACGGCTGCACTGGGGAGCTCAGCCCTCCCAGTTGTCTCCCGAGGACAACTGGGAGTCCTCGTCTACCTGTCCAGTGGGAGCGTTTTGTGCCCTGACCCAGGGATCCAGTTCCTCTCCCGAGAGGCCTCCAGTAAACCTCAGCGTGTGTCAAAGTGTAACCAATCGCTAGCGAAAGTTGCCTCGTGGCTAGCAGATGGTCCAAGAAGGGAAGGGAAGAGCTGTTGGCAATGCCAGCTGGGCCACACCACTCACCCCCTTCCATGTGAAGAGTGGCTTTTCTTCACGGTCCCACGGTAGGGGCTTCTATGTGGACCCCTCTAGTTCAGGGGTCTGGGGCTGTGGGACTCCCCAGGTTTGACAGGCCCTGGTTTCAGATGTTGCCATGGGGGGCGGTGGCAGGAAAAAGAGAGATCTGTGGGTACCCAAAGCTGATGCACAGTGGCAGCTCCCCTGGGTGCCTGGAGCAGGCGGTGAGCCAGTCCTGACCAGCAGCCGTGTTGGTCCGAGATGATAGGAGGGTAGTGCTCACGGAGCCCGCAACTGCTGGAAGGGCTGCCCCAGAGGAGTATGGGATGGTTGGGGATGGGGGGGGTGGGGGGATGGGGGGTGTTGCTTTGTTGTTCATAAATTCATTCAACAGGTGGGCAGCTCTAAAGGAGAGGCCTGGACTATAAGTGGGCACCCTTGGGACCCTGTTTTGCTTTTATCTTGCGCTCCCGTTGTGATTCTCTGGTTCTCTCCTCTAGCTCCTTGATCAGGAGACAGAGATAGACTCTTAAGGGCACCTCCAATTCTATAACTTGCGACGTTTGGGGGTGACTCTGTGGATCTCCTGCCTGATCAGAAATCAGTTGCAGGTCAGGCCAGGGTCTTAGGCCGTCCTCCAGGGAGCGGCCTGACTGGGGGGATTGGGTGGGAGCTCCCGGATGGCTAGCCTGACTGGAGAGTCAGGGGCTGCTTTGGAGAGAAAGGGGATGAGCTACTGAGTGGGGCCCGGTTGTCAGGCAGATGGCTGGGCTTTTTGAAATTCCTGCAGAAGACAGCATGGAAGCCCGGAAGGTTCTGTGTAGGATCTGTCCCGGAGCCAATGCATTTAGATTGATTGGAGCAGGGGTTGCCCAGATTTTTGCCTTAAAGTTTCAGTCCGGGCTTTGTGGCGTGTACGCCCCCACCGAGGGTGCCAGAGTCTGTTTGCCTGAATAGGTAGTGCGTGGAACCAGCCCGGCTTCCATCCTCACTTCTCCTTCATGAGCTTGCTGAAGCTGCTCCTCTTTGCCCACGGAGGGGGCAGGGACACTGACCCCAGGATGATCCGCGTCCAGCTGGGGCCCGCCTAAGTGTGCATGACACAGGATGGACAGAAGCCCAGGACATGTGTGCAGATCAGTGATGAGGCGGGTTCCTGCTCAGCCCCCTGGCGCCCCCACTCCCTAACTAACCTCCTGGCCTGCCTGACTAACCTCCTGGCCTGACCTGCAATGATTTCTCATCCTTGCGGGACTGATGAGGAAACTGAGGCTCACAGTGTGGGTGGTACTTGGCTCTTGTACTGGAGCCTGACTTCCCGGAGACCAGCCTCACCTAGCTGTGGGCCAGTCTCTGACTGGACCCAGGGCTCCCGGTTACGAGTCTCTCGGCGTCCTGGAAGCAGGGCTGGGTAGGAGTCTTTCTGGTGCCCCACAATGGAGCTCAGTGCCTGGCAGCTCCACGGGTCCCCAGAGCTCCTAAATATTGCAGTTGTTGAAAAACTTGCCCTAGCCGTTTAGAATGTTCTTGCTTCTTGCCGTTTTCCTTTAAAGCCACAAGGTGGCGCCAACAGCCCACGGGTTCCCCCAGTCAGGCCCGGGTGAGGGCGGCTTCTGGAGGACCACGATTCCCAGTTCCCAGGACTTGCAGCCGTTTGCTTCACTGGGGTGTTTTCACGCATCATTTCAACTGGTGTCTTTTTTTGTTTGTTTTTTGGGCCACACCCAGGAGGCCACACCCGTTGGTTACTCCTGGCTCTGCATTTAGGAATCACTCATGGCAGTGCTCTGCCAACCCTGTAGGATGCTGGGGATTGAACCCAGGACCACCGTGTGCAAGACAAACACCCTCCCGGCTGAACTATCACTCAAGGCCCTCAGCACCCTATTTAGGCTGGCCAGGCCATGACTGTAGCGCCCACTTTCCAGGGAAGGCGGCGTGTGTTGGGCCCGGGTCCCCCAGACCCCTTTTCAAGCTCAGGGCACCCTCAGAGGGGCCTCTCCCCACTGCTCCTCCACATCCTTTCCCTCCCACTGGGCCTGGACTCGTGGCAGGGAGGTGAGGCAGGAAGATGACCTGGATGGCAGTAGAGACAGGCACTGCAGGGTAGCTGCTGTGGGTGCAGGCACAGGGATGGAGACCCGGAGGGGGAGCTCCTGGGCCCGGGCCAGCAGAGGACTGTGGGTTTGCCTGTCCCGACCTTGCGCCCCCATGCAGGCCATGCTCCTGAGGTGCTCCCAGATGGGACTCTGACCTTGCGCCTCTCTCTTCCCAGATGCAGCCCTGGTGGAAGCTGCTCGTGCCAACAACGTCCAGGAGGTGGAAAGGTGAGTTGTGGGCCCCCTCACCCCAGGCTCTGCTCCCTGAGCCCCTTCTTGTGGCAAGAATCGGGGCTCCCATCAGAGGTCGCCCCCTTCTCTCCTTCCTGTTTCCTGACCCCCGACAGACAGCGCGGTGCCCTCCACCCTGCAGGTTTCTGGGGACTTTTGCATTTGGTTCCCTGGAGCTGGCCCCATGCCCATGCTGAGCCTGTTTTGTGGGGCCTCCCAGGACAGGTGCAGGGGGTTGGAAGGAGCCCGGCCCCAGGGTGTCACAATATCCCTGAACCTTCCACCCCCCCTCAGCCCCCCGGGTCACTTCTGAGAGCTGGCTGATGGGTTTGTGACTGGTACTTGGGTGTGGCTGGCCTCCCCTGGGGGTGCAGCCTAGCTTGTGGGTCTGGGCTGTTGGTCAGGGACAGAGGGCTTATCCTCGGTCAACTGGGGACCCCACTGGGCCTCATCTTGGCCTTCTCAGTCTCTTGTGTAGATTCGGACCTCTAGGACACTCCCTCCCTCCCCTGCCACCGCAGCACTGTAAGTTTTGTAGGGGGTGGGTGGTGCTCCCAAGTGGTGCTCACGGTGCCCAGCCTGAGCCTCCTGGCAGTTGTCACCCATCAGGCAGATATTTCAGGGGATGGGCGGCTCAGGCCCTGGGGTGCTGAGGATCAGCCTAGGCACTCTGGGGGTGCATGGTGGTCTCCAGGGCTGTTCCATCTGGGGCTTGTGGGATGCGTGCCGCTGGGGACTGAACTTTGGTCAACTGCGTGCAGGTATCCCCCTAGCCACCGTGCTGTCTCTCGGACCGTGCATTCACATTTTAGACAGGAAGTGGGGTGTTGCTGGGGTTGACCCCACACGCTTCGTGCTCTCCCCCACCCCCACCCCTGCCCAGCCTCTGGGACGTGTGAGATGTTGAAAGGCAGCCACACAACCCCCCCCCCACCGTCAAGACTTACTGCTTTGATTCCCTTTCATTTTATCTGCAGCATTATTATTGATTCTCTAGGGTGCTTTTGAGTATTAATGTTCGAGGCGTAGTTTTTAATAAACCACTTTTGGAAGAATGGGCTGGGAGTTGTTTCACAGCCAAATAAATACGACGGAGCAATGGTTTAATAAACATGCGATGATGCATCTTAAACTCCGAGCGCGGATGTCGGCTTTCTGGTGTCAGAGCCATCCATAACCGCAGGCCGCATCTCTCCCTCCCCCACAGACGGATGCGCCTCGCTCTCCCTGCTGCCGCCCACCGCGGCAGGGGCTGGTGGCCCTGCAACCCCGAGTCTTGTCTGCCCGCGTCAGCAGGCAGTGTCTGGAAGCCAGGGAAGGCCGCATTTGCCCGTCCCCAGTGCGCCCCGAACGCTGCCCTTTGCGGCTCTCTGATGCAGTTCCGTTGCTTCCCCAGGAATACAGGAAGTGCTTGAATTTACGGGTTCTCCTCGGCCTTCGTTCTTGCTGCCATGGCTGGGGTCTGTGGCAGGTCTCAGACTCGAACCCCCATTTCTCCTGCTTCCTCTCCCCCTGTCCTGGTCACTCTCCCCTCTGCCCCTGTGAGGGGGTCACCCCCTCCCCCCCCTAACCTGCAGCACCTCCTGCAAGCAAAGAGCAGGGAGCAAGTGGAAGGGCAGGGGCGGGGGCGGCAGGAGAGGCGTGCTGACCCCGGGCCTGGAGGCCTGAGTGGGTGTTGCGGAAGTGGTATTTGTGGCAGGGTGATGGGGGGCTGTGACGGGACTAGGAGTGCTCACAGCAGGGGCATGAGGGTTGGGGGCCTGCAGAAGGCAGGGGCGAGCTGATTTCTGGAAGGCTGAAGGCCTGGAGTAGGGAGCCACCCCCAGCAGTTTCTGCATACCCCTGAAAGAGGGCGCTTGGGCTGGGCTCCAGTGAGCGGGAGACGGGGATCCCCAGACTCACGGAGACAGACGTGTCACCTAATAATACTTTGTTCTTGGGGACTGGAGCAATACTACAGCAGGAGGGTGCTCATCACCTTGCACGCGGCTGACCTGAGTACAATCCCAGGCACCCATACAATTCCCTTCCTCCACCCCCACCACCCCCAGCCCTGCCAGGAATGGTCCCTGAGCACAGAGTCAGGAGTCAGTCCTGAGCACCGCTGGGTGGGGGCTTACTCCCAATCAGTTCTTCCAGCAGCAGAGTTTGTCCCGGAGTGGGGGTGGGGATGCCCTTACCTGCAGTCAGGAAGGAAACAGGTCGGGGGAGGGGCTTGGCCCTGCGCAGATGCCCCTGTGTGGCTCCCCGCAGCCCCCCTCTCCCGCCTTTCAGACAGTGTTCCCGTGGGTCAGCGCACATGAGCAGTGTGGTCAGTGACGTCAGGGTTCAGAATGAAACTCAGACCTGGAGAGTGAGACCGTCCGGTCCCCTTCTTCCCCCAGTCTCGGCCTTGCCCCCTTCCAGAGCCAGCCAGCTGCGTGCTTCTAGAAGCCTGCGGTGCCTCTGTGGGCCGCCTGGACACGTGGCATCTGCCCTCCTGGTTCTGGGGCTCTGGCACTCCCTTGCCCAGCACAGCTGCAGCCCTTGGGGGAAGCCCACCCCCCGGTGTGGCGCCCCTCGTGTTCTTGGGTGCTTCCTTCTGGGAGGGTCTGGGAGGGGTGGGGGACAGCTTTGACTGGCAGGACAGGGGGCCAGCCCTGAGATTTGGGCCTCGGCCCCCCTGATGCCTCCAGGCCTCAGCCCTTGTGCTCACCTCGCAGTGCCCACTAGCGTCCTGTCCAGTGGCCGCCGACAGCTGTGAGTTTGCCGCTGCTTCGCACCGCATTGATTTAGTTTGAAGTTTGGCTTTGGGGCCACACCCGGCGGTGCTCAGGGCTTACTCCTGGCCCTGCTCTTGAATCACCCCTGGCGGGGCTTGGGGGACTATGTGGGGACCATGTGAAGGCAAGCGCCTAACTGCTGTACTCATGGTCCCTCCCACTGGCCAGTGTGCTGCATCCTGGGCAACCTTTCAGCACTCCCCGAGGGACCTGGCGGCCCTTCCTCTCCCCTCTCCCTCCTTCTCTCTCCAGGCGCCTTCATTCTCTTCTGGCTGGAATCTTCAGCTCTGCCATTTTGGGGATGGCAGCTGGCCCGCAGCCCCTCCCCCATCCATTTACTGCACGCTCAGGGGACCCCATTTCCGACCCCAGCCCAAACCTGGTCTTCAGACTCAGCAGCCCCTCACCCGGAACCTGGGTCACCGGGCAGACTCCAGCCCCATCTGTCCAGGCTGAGCTGTCCAGGGCGCTCATGGGCTGCAGGTGGGGGCTGTTCCCCTCCAGATCACCTTTCCTCCAGCACCAAGTGGGTGAAAGACTACACCCACCCCCCTTTCTTCCCTTCTCCCAAGATGCCCCTCCCGCGTGCTCATCCTGGCGTGACCGACCACTCAGGGGCTGAGGGCATCTGTCTCAGACTCCGAATTTGGAGGTCATGCTCCGCATTCATCTGTTCTTTTGATGGCAGTAGATGCGCTCCCATCCTGCGGTTGACCAGGAGTTGGTGGTGAGGGGGTGTGAGGTGGAGGGGAGGGCGGGTGGGTTCTGATCTGGCCTGATCACTGTCTTCCCTGGTGGCTTGGGGGTAACTGGGCAACTCGGTATAAGCAGGGCTCTGGGGCTGGGACTTGGGCTGCAGGAATCCAGAAAGGGCCCTAGCTAGCCTGGGAGACCAGAGAGAGAAAGCGCCCTACTGCATGTGAGGGACACAGCGCCCTACTGCATGTTCAGAGAGAAAACACCCTACTGCTTGTTGAGAAAGCGCCCTACTGCGTGTGAGGGAGAAAGCTCCCTACTGCGTGTGAGGGAGAAAGCTCCCTACTGCGTGTGAGGGAGAAAGCGCCCTACTGAGTGTTGAGAAAGTACTCTACTGCATGGTGTGGGACAAAGCACCCTACTGAATGGTGAGAGAGAAAGCACCCTACTGCGTGGTGAGGGAGAAAGCTCCCTATTGCGTGTGAAGGAGAAAGCGCCCTACTGAGTCATAAGAGAGAAAGCGCCACACTGCGTGTTGAGAAAGGACCCTACTGTGTGTGAGGGATAAAGTGCCCTACTGCGTGTTGAGAGAGAAAGCGCCCTACTGTGTGGTGAGCAGGGCGAGTGCACACCTGCCCCATGTTCCCACATCTTGGCCCAGCCCCAGAAGTCAGGCGATGGGTCTGAGCCTGTGTTGGAGGTCACTGCCTTGTGTCCGTCTGTGTCCTTCTGGCCTTGACAACATAGTGAGGACAGGGAGGGGTCCTCATCTGAGGGGCTGCCCTCTGCCCTTCCCGGGGACCACGAGTCACCAGTGAAGAACTAGCAAAACGTGACTCGGGCTCCCAACTTCTCTGAGCCCACACCGGAGAGCCAGGGAGAGTCCAGCCATGGCATGGGAAGGCTCTTATTTCCCAGGGTGTTACTCTCGCTGCGGCCGCCCCGCGTCTGAGTAGGTGTCCGCCAGGCCTGGGCACTGCTGCATGCACGGGCCACGCAGCCCCATCCTTGGGTCTGAGGGTCTAACTGGAAGTCAGATGACGTGACAGGTCTGGTCGTGTGCTGATCAGAGTAAAGGAAAACTTTCGTTTTCCAGCAAGCAGTGCAACACATATTCTTAAGCAAAACCTGCCGTTGGAAACCCTGTTTCAAGCCAGCCACAGAAATAAACTCAGAACAGATTCTAGAGGCCCATGTGGACGAGTGAAAACTGTAAAACTTAGAAGAAAGCAAAGGATTGTATTGTTGAGAGGGGGCTTCCAGATGGTGCTCAAGGGAACCCAGGGACCACTCCAAGCATTGCTAAACTAAATGGACAGGTGGTCCATGCTAGGGCCTGAGGATGGGGTGTGCCAGGGCCAGGCCTGGTGGTACCCGGGAGGCCATGTGGTGCTGTGGGTCTAATGGGGTTGGGGATCTAATGGGCTGGTAACCCCCAGACCGTCTCCTCAGCTCTAGGATTATGTCGCTATGACCTTGGCTTAGGCAGTTATGGCATGAGAAGCACAAGGAACTGGAAGGAAAAATATTATTTAGATG